TGCTACTGCTACTGCTACTACCACTGCTACTGCTACTGCTACTGCTACTGCTACTACTACTACTACTACTCCTCCTCCTCCTCCTCCTCCTCCCATCCCCACTGCTCTTGCTACTGCAACTGCAGCTACCACAACCGCTGCTTCGACAGAGGATCTCTCCCGACGCAGAGGACGTGGAGTTGATCGATGCGCCGTTGTCGCACAAGCTGTCTAGCAGGAGGTCCGAAAGGTCCTGTGCATGATATGTTTATGGATTTAGCGTTTAGGGTTTTAGGGTTCAGGGATATGGGGGCCTTGATTATGTTCAATGTGGTTTTCAGATATAGTTAGGATAAGTATGATGAGGAACTCTAGGAAATAATTTTGGCTAGCAGGCCCTACACACTACTCTGGCATTCTTAGTACTGTTCTCACAGCTTTCATCTCGAAGAGCCAGCAGTTGCCAATGCCCTCGTCATGCAAATGTGTCTGGATGGTCGAGCCGAGGTACCGCTCAAGGGGAGAAACATGTGGCAAGGTGGTGTTCTGGGGCCGGATGGAGCTGTGTACTTCATCCCGAGACACTTGTCAGCTTACAGAAGCTTTAGCCCGGAGTGGGTCGGAGGCCAGGCAGCTTCAATATTCTGCTGTCCAGCCCTGTGGCTGAAATGAGGATGGGCTCAGCACGTCTTGAGGATCAAGGAAGACAAGGTGTCGGTCGTCCGCGGCGATCCCATCGCTGGCTGCTTGGTTTGATGGCCCCGATGCAACGACCCTTGTAGCCTTCGTTTGGCCTGTTGAGCCGTTGCATGACGCTGCTACCTGGAGGTTGGAATAAATTCCAAGGAGGTGTACTTGCCCGGGATGGTTGCATGTATGGTGTCCCGCCACTTGGCTCCGAAGCCCTATACCCCTAAACCCTAAGCCCTAAATCCGACAAGAGCATGGCCCGAACCTGTGGACCAAGGCAAGACCTGGATGCAATTCTCAAGATCCAGCCGGATGCATCATGAGAGGCAGCCTCACTGCTTTACACTGCAGTCTAACATGCCATAATTAAATATGCTATATTATTTATATTATACTATAGTTTGCCACAGAGGGCCGTAAAACAAAAAACTCTGCTATCCTCTAACGAATACCCAGCCACCTGGCAGAGACTTGACAACTATAGGATTATAAGGAACCCATTCAGGCTTCTATGTTATAGTTCAATATAGGAGACTGCATGTGGCTCCTTTTTATGATTACCCCATACTGCACCCCAATACCCATTGTAATGACTAAGGCCGCTATGTTAAATATCTGTCACAGTTCAGTTCTGCCATGGCGGAGGATTTGCAGACTCTTCATGCTCTGCTGCAGAGTCAGCGCTGAATTCATGTGCCATGTGGGTTCAATAGATCCAAACACGACTCTGGCAAGACACAGAAAGCCAGAAATCCTGGAGGCTGCTTGGCCCAAAGATGGCTCGCAGATCTTGTTCAAGACTCGACAGCATGGCAGAAGGTTTAGGGTTTAGGGTTTAGGGGTTTCGGGGTTTCGGGGTTTAGGGTTTCGGGGTTCAGGGTCTAGGCTTTCGGGGTTTGGGGGTTTAGGGTTAGGAGAAGCCCGGCGGAGGCATAGGTGTTGATGCTCCGACTCCGAACGGTGTGCAGCGACTTGCGCGTGCGGTGTTGCGAATCTGCACACCCCTAAACCCTAAACCCCTAACCCCTAAAACCCTAAAACCCTGCTTAAGCGTTGACGCCGAGGTTCATACATCGAGTCGGCCTAGCACTCCTGACGGAGGTTGGGGGGTGGGGGGGCGGGGGAGGTTGAGGGGCTGGGAACTACGAAGTTGGCTACCATGCTCCATCCCCAAAGCCGCTCACAAGCAGAGAGGGTTTAGGGTTCAGGGTTCAGGGTAAATGCTCTCCCTCTGCGACCTTTTTCGACTCCAACCTGAGAGTAAAGCGAAGGAACTCCCGTGAGAGGCTCGGTGTGGAAGATTATACGGGCCTTGATAGTTGGAATAGGGTTTTGGGGTAAGTTCTACGATGAATCAATTAATAACAAGGGGCCCCAGAATTAGTATTGGTACCTATTCAGGCCCCTATATGACTGCCTAAAATCCATGATAATTCACATGTCCTCCGTGCTATTTCGTCGCTCGAGCACGCCGGCAATATTCCGCATGCATGCGCCTTACTGCGCATTGTTTTAGACGCCGGGCCCGTCTAAAGGTAATGTAGGGACCCTAACAATCAGAATAGGGTTTTGGGCTCCTTTGTAACATATTTATAACAAGAAACCCTAAGGAATAATATTGGTAATTATTCAGGTTTCTATGTTATGGCGTAAGGACCCAAAGCCCTGCAGCCACCAGCCACATATTTAACTCGGTCCGGTCCAGCGGGCACAGTTTGCAGAAACAGCATTAAAAGCAGTTCACTCGCTAAGACCGAATAACTCGCGGGGAGTGTAGAGCGTAGACTGAACATAAGAAGATATGATAGAGTCATCATGCAGGCTGATACACAGGATCATGCTGCTTCCACGCTTGTTCTATGATGCAACTTCTCATCATACTATGTGTACTGTAGTTCAGGCTCGCCCGGCGTTGCTTGGGCAGTCCTTTGACTGTACGATCCAGAGGCCTTCGTTTGTCAAATCTGGGATACAACCGTTCTGCAGGGTCGCTTGAGGATTTAGCGGTTCGGCCCTTGATGGACAGGCTATGCGGACTAGCTTTGGCCTTCGAAAGAAATCGATGATGCAGCTTACTTAATCCTGCAGGCAGAAGTTGTTGCAAGGCGGTCTTTCTCTCTCTCTCTCTCTCCATATCTCTGTTGCTCTCTCTCCATCTACCTCTCTGTTTGTCTCTCTCTGTCTCTCTATCTCCCTCTCTCTCTCTCTCTCTTTCCTCGCCGCAGTGTGTATCTATCTCTCTCTCTCACATTGAAGCACCCAATATTCAACCTCACCTATCTCAGGCTGCGCTGCCTTTGCCAGTCATCGCAGCTCTCGCCAGAGGCGGGTGATGTGCCACAATGTCTCAAATTAGCTTGGTACGTTACGGCTGCCAGAACGGTTAATCACAGCAGACACTGCTCCCGACTGTGACCCCGTTTCGCCCACTCAGGCGTTTCCTTGAAGGAACATGATCGGAAGCTGCGTGTTTATGTGTGTGTGTGTGTGTTTTTTTTTACGAGTCTCCCTAAACCCTAAACCCCAAAGTGCCACCCCAAGTCTTAAAGTCTGAACCGACCGATGGTCAGAGGAAGCCTGGTATACCCTCAGCCAAAGCCCTAATCCAAACGTGTCCTAAGCCCGTCAGGACCCCGAAAGGTACCCGTAACAGGAACCCTGGCAGAACGGTTCGAACATTAACCCTACTTCATACGAACAAACCCTAAACCCTATAAACCTTAAGCCCTAAACCTTAAACCCTAAACCCTAAACCCTATAAGCCCTAAACCCTAAAACCTTAAACCCTAAACCTTAAACCCTAAACCCTATAAACCCTACACCCTAAAAGCCTAAACCCTAAAAAATTAAACCCTAAAAAATTAAACCCTAAACCCTAAACGATTGACTTCCAGTGTTCGATGGGACATACCAGCCTGCCCGCTACGGGCTCACTAC